TTTGATGCGATCACTATTACGACATGATCGATTGGCATGCAACCGAGATCACAGAGCCACCCCTTACAAAAGATATCACAACTGAAGCTTTAGAACAGATGATAATGGATATTCCTAATAACATTGAATTTTTGAAGTTGCCTTGCCATACTCAGGCAGTAGAAAGAATGATAAAATTAGTTACAGAAGCGTCACTTTCAGTTTGTGGAGAAAAAGCAAGAGATGGCTTTATTCGTACTAAACTTGCATCTCAAAATGATATACCAAAATTTGAAACTAAAAAACACTTCATTATTTAAGTCTTTGATGTGAACTAGTAAACACTAATGTTTTGTTTTTCAAGATTTAAATGATTTATTTGAGTTAATAACATGTTTAATTTGATGATATTGTTTTGTTTACTTTTGAAATGCAATTCATAAACAGTCTCCAGCCGAGAGGAACCTCAAAACAATGTTCAATAAAATTCAAAATTTACACATTGAAATAACTCGATAAAAGACATATTTCCCAACCCCAGGAAAAGTAAAAAGAAGAAAAAAATTTTTTTATGTATAAATTCGCTCCACCCTAATATCCAATTGGCGATAACAAAAAAATATTTTGTGATGTATCAACATCATACCCCAGACCATATATTCCAGTTAATTTGAGAAAAGCCATATTTGACAGTCTTCATAACCTCTCACATCCAGGTATCAAAACATCAATACGATTAATCAAATCAAGATATTTTTGGCCAGATATAGACAAACGAATAAGAACATGGTCAAGAGAGTGTTTAAGCTGTCAACAAAACAAAATTCACCGACACACGAAATCTACGATACCATTTTCAATTTACCGTCTGCACGTTTTGAGGCTGTTCATATTGATATTGTAGGTGTGTTACCACCAGTCAAGCAAGGAAATGAGACCTATTCAAGTCCATTCAGATATTTACTCACATGCATTGACAGAACAACTGGTTGGATCGAAGCAGCTCCAATGACAGAAATATCAGCTTCAACAGTTGCTACAACTTTTTTGAACATTTGGATTGCTCGATTCGGTGTCCCTCTTTATGTTGTAACAAACCGAGGTAAACAATTTGAGAGCGAATTATTTCACGAACTACAACAAGTTTTCATTCACAAGCCAATGGAAAAATAGAACGTCAACATCGTACCTTGAAAACAGCAATTAGTTGTCGTAAACAAAACTGGTTAGATGCATTAGCTGTCGTTCTTTTAAGACTTAGAAACATACCAGATGAAAACGAAATATCCCCAGCAAAAGCAGTCAATTTTTATTTCCAGATTCAAATGAAGATCTAACATCTAGTCAAATCAAACAACTAGCAAAAGATATGTTTAAACTTAATGACTACCTAACAACTAACAATCAACATCACTCTACCCCAAAAGCTTACGTACCAAATGAACTTTCAAACAGTAGTGGTTGAGAGTAGATCGAGTATATCGTCCACTGGAAGCACCATATACAGGCCCTTTCAAAGTGATTGAACGTAACGACAAATATTTTAAAATTGAATTGTTACCAGGAAATATTCAGAATGTGTCAATTAAAGCCAGCTTGTTTATCATTACCTTCGGCAACCAAAACCAAATAAACAACGAGAATAGTTCGACAACGAACAACAAACTTTCTACAACAGATACAACACAACCAGCAACATCAGACACAAAATCTACTGAAACACCAGAAACAGCAGCAACAACACAAGAAAAAAGACCGACGTCAACCACATCGGAACCAACAACCCAACACTTCAGAAAACGGAGACGAATAACATTCAACAAACGAAATGAACATTTTTATTTTTAAATGGCTCCGCATTTTGTAGGGAAGTATTGTAGGGATCAAACATTCATTTATTAACTATCTTGTATATTAATTATTATTAAAGATTATTGCAATTTTCAATGTTACCTAATCTATTTTAATTTTTATTTCTTTGCTTCTCTCTCGATCTTTTTTCTTTTTCCTGAGAGCTTGTAAACGAGACGGTTCGAGATTCACGTTAAAATAAAGTTAACATTCTTTTTACGCCTGAATTGTGTTTGTTATATTTATTTTACTTTACAACAAGGTGTCTTGTTAGTAGCAGAACGCTCGTACTAACATGCATGTATCATTGTCTATATTTAATCTTGTAAACAAAGAAATTATGTGTTTTATTTTCCATTGCTTAATATTAAAAATGAACAGTAAACGTCAAAAACTTGAAAATTGTGATTGAATAAATGTCTACATGCTTAAAAAATTGGTGAGGATATTCACCATTTACCGACGATGTAGGTGACTTACATTACAATACCTTTTAGAAGGTAGACGTGTCTATCAAAGAGTGATATGGTCCATCATGGCACTGCATTCTAATTCGAATAGTGAAGCATTTCTAGAATAAATACAATCAAATTCTATTAGACGGTTAGACTCATGAAAAGCCTATGTAAGATAACAACAAAGAATACTAAAAACACTGAGTGATATGTATAGCCGAACAAAAATACCAGAAAAACTCACCAACTACATCCAGAAATTTTTCATCAATACATTCAGCATCTTCCATGTTGTTCTCGTAGGCTCTATTATTGCTATAAACTCTCTCGGTCTCCTTGCAGCTAACTTTACCGGTCTTGTACGTTGTACGGTTTGTGCTATACCACGTGTATCAAGCTGGTCGGTAAGACATGATAAAAACTACACTTCTTGCAGATTATAAATGCATCCTTACACCTATAACTTACCTTTGACCAAAAGGACAGCAGGTTGGCAGCCTTCTTCCGCTTCACATTGCCTAATTCAGACAATTTCTTCTGAACTACGTCAGTCACATTATCTTCAACTTTCACACTACACCAAAACGCGTTTGTATGTTTGTATTTGACTGTAGAGACTGTGCGCTTTTATTTGGACAAGTCAACTTAAATCCTCATACAAATCAAAATATAACTTTCGCTTATTAGCCATTTTGTTTATTTGTTTATACTGCGTGCATAAAATATCTAAAATAGAAATGGTAGCAGCTTTATTCTGCCTAAATATCACAGATTACCAGACCTGGAACGTTGGAACGTATCGGAACTTCGGCAGCAGTCTAAAGACAGCGTACGTACAAACGCATCAGGTTAACTCCTCTCTTTCCTCTATCACACACCTAACCCTAACCCTAAAAATGATCGTAGGTGAGTTGGACTGTTGTTGACCATTTTGATTTCAAAAAGTCAACACTCTGCTATCGTACATTTTATGCTTGCCAATTTATCTAGAAAACTAGTCTACTAATCGTGCGGTTTGCACTCAAATGCAAATCATTGATTATGCTTGCTACTATTAATCAGCAGTATTTACAAGCTTACAGTTCTATTTACAAGTCCTATTTACAAATCTTATAGTTAAGTCGAGTACGGAAAATGTTCAGTGTGAACATTGTGCTTGGTGCATTTTGCACAGCAGATGCATTCTTGGCCAAGTTTTGGATAGACAGACGCGAAGTTCTTCTTCGACAAAAAAAGGCGTTCTCGTTTCTTGTGATTGATGTTGCTCATGACCAAAAATTCAAACTCGCACATGTATGACGTAGAAAAACGCAACAGAAGTCGCAAAGCTTTCTCAGCAATTGCAGGGTACTCGTTTCCGACCAACAATTAAAACATATCCATATTGAGTTTTGCAGTTTGAGTTTAAGCGTTCTGTCACTTAAAATGCTGCCAGTTCTTCTTCCTCCTTCAAAGTAAACTGTTCTTTGCCCGCTTCAAATTCAATAAATTGATTCTTAATCCAATCATACTGGTCAACAGAATTTGATGGGAAGTATTTGCTGAGACTGATGGACAGACTTTCCAAGTAGTTGACAATCAACAGCATAATGTCTTGGTGGTTGGTGAGCTTAATGTTGGGAAACATTCCAAAATTCCCAGCCGCTGCCCGCTTTTTTCACAGCATCAATTTTTTCTGAAAAGCGTTTATTTTGTCACTTGAAGTCAAGATGTTTGCATTTCTTCCTTGCAAACCATTGTACAGAATGTTGAGTTCTTAAAATATATCAGCCAGATAAGCTACTTTAAAAAACCAGCTCTCGTTGCTCAGTGCGTTTTCAAACTCCTTCAGGTTTGCAGCGTAACAGAACGCCAAGATTTTTTCTTTCAGCTCGTAAAAACAAAATAGTACTTCTCCACGAGACAGCCATGGTACGTCTTTATGTTGGATGAGTGTGATAGGGTTAGAGTTAGGGTCTCATCTTAATGTTATTAACTATTTTCTCTACCTTGTCCAGCACTGATTTTAAATTTTCTCACTTTGTTTTAGCGACCAGTGCTTCTCTGTATATGAAGCAGTTGGTGGCCACGATATTTGGATTCATTTGTTGCACCAGTGACACAAAACCTTTAACGTTTCCCGTCATTGCAGGAGCACCATCAAATGTCGACGCAGTTTTTCTTTGACAAATCACTGTACTGCAAATATGCACTGATAACGTCATACACATTTTGTCCTCTCCTTGTTTCTGACAATTTTTTACAGCAGAAAAAACCTTCAACAATAGCACCATTGTCGAAAATTGTAGAAACCCTAGCAGCTGTGCTTTACCACTGACGTCGGTGCTCTCATCCACCTGAAGTTTAAACAATCCGTGATTTTTAATCCTAGACAGGATATTACCATCAGTAAAAATGCCGACGCAGTTTTTCCCTGACAAATCACCGGACTGAAAATATGCACTGATAACGTCATATACATTTTGTCCACTCGTTGTTTCTGACAACTTTTTACAGCAGAAGAAATCTTCAACAATAACACCATTGTCAATAAAATGTACAAACCTTAGTAGCTGTGCTTTACCACTGACATCGGTGCTCTCATCCACCTGAAGTGTAAACAATCCGCGATTCTTAATCATCGACACGACATTACCATCAGTAAAAATGCCGACGAAGTTTTTCCATGTCAAATCACCGGACGGCAAATATGCACTGATAGCGTCATATACATCTTGTCCTTTCGTTGTTTTTTACAACCCTTTACAGCAGAAGAAGTTCTCAACAATAGCACCATTGTCAGCAAAAACGTACAAACCCTAGCAGCTTAGCAGCTGTGCTTTACCATTGACATCGGTGCTCTCATCCACCTGAAGTGTAAACAATCTAGGATTTTTAATCTTCGACACGACATTAATTTCAATGTCAGTTGCTATGTTTGCTATACGCCTGCTTATAGTATTTTCAGATAGTAGAATCTTATTGATTTCAGATACGGCACTTTGTCCAAACATAATTTTAACCATCTCTTGGCACGCTGGTAAAATTACGGTTTCAGCGATAGTATGTGATTTTATTTCTTAGCTACAATCTTTGCAACAGCATGGCTTGCTTCTTGAGCTTTCTCATTAATTTTTTTTCTCAATTATTGCTGCTTGTTTTTGTTCAGATTTAGTGCTCTCTCGAATTACGTAACATCTTTCTTTGCTGCATAGGAATACAATGTAATTAAGTGTCGTTTCAATTTAGCGAGCACCATGGCACTGTTAACAAGCTGTTTCCCGCAAACAATGCAAAGAGGCGATGGACAGTTTGGGTCTCCTGCCCAAGTGAATCCCATAGCTAAATAATTGTTACTGTACTGACGAATCTTACGACGAGAATCTACAGCATCAATTTTCTGCACCATCGGCTCTTTGGATACGGATGCAGCGTCAGGCGATTGCTCAGTAACTTCAGCTTTATCTAGCTTTCGTTTATTAATAAATCGGTCTCACTACGAGTAAAAATAATTTAGATTTAGTTATATTGAAAATTAACGCGCACGACGGCGTACGGTCTAACAATAGAAACGGAAATAGTATTTAGGCAAACAAATGCAAAAACTAGTAACCGCATAGTGTGCATGCATAGCTTAGTGCAGTTACGCAGGTTAAGCGTGATCATATAAATAGAATATAGATATAATGGGCATCGCTCACTTTTAGCAAAAAAACCTGGGTAGCAATATATAGTCTTTTGATAAAATCGAGCGGTGAGTCACGTGACAACGTAAGAGATGTTTTATCCTCTTGTTTGGGTGATTCTTATTTGTTAATTGATTATGAATAGAATTTGTTAGAAAGGTATTAGGTGATGTGAATTGGTTATCCAACAGCAATACAAGTATTTGCAGTAATCATTTTTGTGACAAAAATAAACAAATTATGCAGATTTAAGCAACACTCAATGCATTATTAGATAATGAAGTATCATATTGTCGAAAATTGTTAGTGTGTGGGGTCTGTCTGTGCGCTTGAGTGTTTGTTCACGGCACAGGCGTACGGCGGAAAAGAGGTAATCTCTTTCTCTATCTTTCTCAGGGATGTTTTTTATGGTCCGACAATAATTTTTTTGTATATTTTTATCGTAAGTTCGATCAGTCCTGTGTGGCACTGGGCTTTTTTCAAATTTTTATGAAGGTGATGATTACGGGGAAAGGCAGAAACAATGCGGAATTTCAGATAGAATCAGAAAAATTTGAACAAGTAGACCAGTTTGTGTATCTTGGCAGTCTTATAACCTGTGACATCAACTGCACAAAAAATTGACAGAAAAATAGCTATAGCCCATGGAATGTTTGCATCGTTGATGGAAATATGGAAAAGTGGAAATATATCTATAAAAACATCTTCCATGTCATCAAAAAAAAGAAAAGATCCCCTATTCCCTGGAAGACCTTAAATGTTCGAGGGGTGACAATATTTGGAAAGTACGCAACAGTGGGGGGATGTTGCGGAAAATCGAGCGTTCCTTCCTGGAATATCAGACTTGGCACTTTAAGTACTAGATCGCTTACTGAACGCTTCATGAAGATCGTCGACATGCTGGTAAGGCGAAGGGTTGACATCTGTTCTTGCAGGAAACAAGGTAGAAATTAAATAATGTCTCTCTCAGTAAAAGTTACAAATTGTCTTGGAATGGCCAAAAGACAGCCCAAAATGGAGTGGAAATCTTCATATGGGAATCACTGGCACAAAATGTAGTGGAGGTAGTTTAAATCAGCTCACGCCAAATGCTGATTAAACTCCAAATGGGAAAACAGGTTTTGACTGTTTTCTCTGCATATGCACCACAGATCGGTGAATATGAAAACGCCAAAAATGACTTCTGGAACACACTCTCAGATGCCGTCAGGAAAACATCATCACCGGAGATACCATTGATATGTGGCGACCTCAACGGCCATGTTGGAGATAAAACAAATGGGTTCCACGGTGTCCATGGAAGCTTTGGCTATGGTTCTCAAAACAAAGACGATATACGGATTCTGGAATTTACTGAAAGCCATGAATTCTTCCTGTTGAACACTTATTTCAAAAAAAGGGCAGAACATTTGATCACATATAAAAGCGGGATGTCGTGCACACAAATTGACAAATTGTCATCAGGCAACAACATAGACGACTATTCAGGAATACAAAAGTCATTCTAGGCAAAGCATGCATTTTTCAACATCAATTGCTGGTGGCCGATATGGTCATGGAAATCACGTCATGTGACTAATCGAAGGCCTACTAGAATAAAGACATGGAAACTGAAGAACCCCATGTTCAGGGAGAAATTCGAAAAGTTGGTATCGGCACAGCTAGCTGGATTGTCTGGAGAAGGTAGTCATAACTTGGAAATATTTTCAGGACACTCTAGTGAACCCTGCAACAGCTGTATGTAAAAATTTATACCAAAACGCCAGCAAAATCGCAAAACTTGGTGGTGGAACGAGACGGTGCAAAATGCTATTGCCAGTAAGAAAGCAGTTTTCAAACAATAGCCGAAGACAAAGACTGATGAAGATCGAAAGTCATACCAATCAAAGAACAGAGAAGCGAAATGTCAGGTTGCGATAGCTCGTGCAAATTAATGCAAGGTATGGCTGTTTGGAAGTAAAGGCGAACAAATTTGGTCACTCTACCAAATAACAAATCAGGCAAAAAAACTGAAAAAGGATATAGTTAGTGCCACATGCTTAAAGAATAATAAAGGCACCATAATAACCTTGCAGTATAAAGTGAATGATCACTGGAAGGATTACTTGGATCAGTTATTGAATGAAACAAACCCTTTTGTGGTTGACTTTGACACACTTCCGGTGGAAAGACCGATTCAGGGCATCACAGCTGAAAAGCTTACGGATGCGTTGAAGGCAATGAAGGTGGGTAAAGCGAATGGTTCGTCTGGACTTACAAATGATATCATCAAGGCATCTGGTGAGGCAGGCTTTAGAGTCCTCTTACACATCTGTCGGGAGATGTGGAGTAAATCGATACTACCAGTGGTATTGTACAGTAGCACAACTTTGCCGATATATAAAGGAAAATGAAATCCACTGAAATGCTCCTCATATTGGAGTATGCGTCTTCTGGAACATCCCCTAAAAGTTATTGAAAAGTCATTGAGAGAAGACTGTTGTCGTGCGTTTCAAAAGGTGGTTACCAGTTCGGCTTCATGGCATGGAGATCCACCATTGATGCTTTCTATATCAATCGTCAACTAAAAGAAAAATACATGGCAAAGCAAAAGCGACTGTTTTATGTATTTGTGGACTCGTGAGGCAATCAGGTGGAGTCTACGTAGATAGCTTGTTCCCAAATATCTGGTTCGGTTGGCTATTGCAATGCACTCTAACAAAAAAATCTCGGGTTAGCATGTTGTGCCGGTAACACGAATGAAAAGTAAAGGTAAACCTTGACAAAACAAAAACTATGATCACCGGTGGTACCGCTGAGCCTGTGGTCTCTGGTCATTGGCCATTTTCGGTGTGTGGGGATAGAGTTGGAAGCAATTCGATCTAATGCCTACGATGTCAGCAGTGTTGTCACAGACGATGCTCAAAAGTTATCGGCTCACTGAGAAAAGTGACTGATTATGTTCAAAAATAATTGGCACTTTATCTAAAGTGTTCAATTTTGTTTGTCCTGCTTGCATCAATCCACAACAACAAAAAATTCGAAATAGCACTGTTTTTGAAACTATTAAGTTAGAGAAAGTCACATTTTTTCAATATCTAGAGGATGTTCTGGATTGTACTGGAAAAGCTGAAGCTGCCGTTCGAGACGCATACGTGCAGCCTGAAATAAATGGCATCTTCTCGCCTCTATATTGATGCGGCGTGACATCCCACTACCACTACGATCAAACTTTATAAATCTGTGATACGTCCGGTGTTGTTATATGGTGCAGAAACATGGCCACTAACAACTAAACTGGAACAACAACTTCAACGAATCGACATGAAAATGCTCCGATGGATGCAACGAATTAGTCTGAAGGACTACATCAAACCTACCGAAATCCTGCGTCGTGCTGGTTTAGATAATATAAAGGACGAATGCCGGCAACACCGTCTGCGGTGGTTTGGTCATGTCAAGCAAAGTGGAAACAGTGCCATAAATTCTCTTGCAGATGTTGAAGTACCTGGCACACGTCCCAAAGGCCGTCCAAAGAAGTCCTGGTTGCAAACAATCGAGCAAGACATGAAAGCTCTAAATTTAAATGAAATGGATACAACTGACCGTCTAATTTGGCGCAAAAAGTTGATGGCAAAGAAAACAACACCTCCTTCCTCGGGAAACTGGGTCTCTTGACGCTAAACGAAGATTGATTGATTGATTTTTGGTTTAATTTAACTTGTTTTCACTAGCTAGCTATACGATTTTATTTTCATTTATGTTGTTATTTTCATGTTGGCATATGTTTTTACTTGGTTTGTGTGGCCGTACAAGCTCGTTTGAGCTTCTGTTTCTCCATGTGAATAAAATAAAATTGAATTGAATTGAATATACATGCATGTATATCTACATGCATGTATGTAAATATATATAACTATCGTATTATTTAGATACCATTTTTTATTACTGGCCGCTTTTATTGTCATAAGTGTTTATTTTTGTAGTGTTTTTATTGCTAGTCAATTTGTATTAATAAGAAAAAATTGATTACATTTTGCTTATATGAATGCGGACACAAACTATTCCAAAAAATGTCAATGTATTTTATTTTTTTCTTGTCTTCGAAGATTCAGGTTCTGGATTTAAACAATTTGTTAATTTGCAAAAGAAATAAATAAAACTCTAGACGCTTTAGTTTGTTCAATGTTTTTCATTGCATGTAGAAAAATATAATTATATAATAAAATTATTCAATTTAAAAGCGTAATACAGTTCAGTGGATAACTAACCGACTAAACTAATTTTAACGAATATTCATTCAATCGCTAGTTGAATCATTTTTTTGGTGAGATTCGTATTTTTTCTTTATATAATAATTGTTTCGTATATTTTAATTGTCCCAAAAATAATTTCTATGGTTACATTTATTAAATATAAGCTATGTTATTTTGTCGCAGAAAACACTACAGTTTATTTTTTATGTAACCTATATATAGTTAAAAATTAAACGCTTTTTTGTCTATGCTTCTCAAAATTATAGTTCTGCATTATTACGGCCCCCGGTCACCCATCATATTATCGGCCGCTAAATTCTATATAATGTTGATTTCCCATATATGTATTCTATATATATGATGCTATTTTATTTTAGAAGAGTTATTGCTTCTTATTCAAATTTTTCTTTTTATACAACTTCAATAACTAATTTAAAATTGTACAAAATTAAAAGTTTTTTTGGTGACTTAAAATAATTAAAATGTTTTATTGCTAATTACACTCCTGTGAAAAAGTATCATTGTACGCTTCTTTTCAGAGTGCTTCAACAACCAAACTTGGCATGGCGTAACTGCGTGTGATTATTTTACCTTATTATGTTACTGTTAAATTAATGTTCACTTTAAAAATATCTACGTTTATTTATTTACTAATTTTTAT